GCCTTGCTTCAGCTAAGTATGCAGAGTTGAACTTATTTAACACCTCTTTAAAGATGTCGGATAAGATTAATCGTGAAAGCAGAACTTTAGAGCGACCGTGCTTAAGTAAAGCATTTTATTGAAAGTTCATTATGGGTTTGGAGCCTTTAATAGTACCATCTAGGACATCACCTTTCGTTCAGCATCTGCAGATATGAAGAAACCACGGGAGTTTCGCTCGTCGTCAATCCGGGGTGCCTTCGTAGAGCTTTCTACTTCAGCACAGTGGAACCAACGGATGCATGAACTGCGTTCAATGAGTTTAATAAGCGGGTCCATTGGAAGTTGCCGCATTAACGTTTGACAGCTTTGCTGGGTTGTGTGACGTCGCCGCGACGGAGGAGGTCTCAGCGGATCAGACTTCGTACGCGGGTATGTAGAAGCGCGACGAGGCACAGATAAGAAAGCATACTGGGATGTTATCGCCCTGGCGATAGCAGGCGGAGTGTAGCAATGGCGTTAATGCACTTGTTCGAATGACGAAGGAGTTCTTTTACCAGTCGGGGATCGTTCCTTGCTGTTGTGGACAGTGGTTAAGTTTTTTCTATTTCGCCTCATCCCGCCATGAAGATTCGATCTCTTTTCGATATATCATTATGGGTTGCTGCACCTCTGCCCTTTGTTGAACTATGTAGTGTTCGTGTTGGACGATTCACAAGTCCCAGCTGGATTGGTNATCGCGCAGGAATAAGCTAACTGGGCCTATTAGGTGCTCATGGTGCAACTTCTTGAATTTTGCCTCTAATTGCTCTGCACAGTTGATGAAATCCGAGGATCCTGCACCTTGAAATTTCGAAGCTTCGGGACATGGATGGCTTACGCCTTGATGTGATCGAAGTGCGGCACGTTCTTCCTCACATTCCATCGTGTAAAATCTACGAAGCCATCAAAAACTATGAGAAGGATGAAGATCGGAGAGATAAGGCCATCGCATACCTTCAGGATAAAGAACAAGTTTCCATATCAGCATGGGCAAGAGGGAATACCAAGGTGTCACCTCCTGGCAGCAAGCAAGGTGCTTCAAGTTTGCAAAAAAATGAACAAGGGGAGCTTCAGCTCAAGCAACATTTAACCAGTGCGACGAGGGAAATTAATTTGAAAAAGGTCAGACCTGGCATCCAAAACTCCTTCAATCCGTGGTAAACACGAAAGTCTCGAGCAGGAAAAAGTGCTGCAGAGCATTTTTCCTGATAACATGCGTCTGAAGGCCAACGAGCGACAATAATACAACCTATGTTGGAACAGTTAAGTTGAACAAGCCTTGTAATTCGCTTGTCATGTCTAAATGGCATAAGCTGGATCCTTCTATTGTGCTACCTGACAAGAAAATGAGTGTTTGAGAGATGTGTCTGAAGGCTTATAGTTTGTGGTAGATCATGGAGTTTGAACTTAGACGGAAATCTTAGAGTACTGAAACATGGAATGGTCTTGCTGTGTTCCCCTAGTCCCCGTTGAATTAAAATTGTGCCAACGAAATTAACAATCTCTCGTGCCAAGCATTACCTGAGTAAGGTCTTCTCCGTAAGACTGCTTGGATTTCTCACGTTCGCAATATACCACTTAGTTATATCTCCCTTTGATTTCTCTAAACGAAACCAGAATTTTCATGCATTGTACTGAAACGTGGTAAGACGATTGAGGTGCAATCTGACTTAAGTGTTGTTCTAATTATCTTTTTAATGCATGGGATGTATTTCACGTTTGAACGTAGGCAGGAAGAATTGCATCACATTTTTGAAATTTAATCAAGCAGCTAAGATTGATTTTTTATGTCAGAAGGCGTGCTCCGAAACTGGGGAGTAAAATTATTTCAATCTGAAGTTGACAGGGAATCTTCGCCCTCAATTCGCGCAACCAAGCTGCTCTTCCACGTTCAAAGTCGCAGGCGTTCGCCCCTCTTCATATTTTCCGTGTGTGTCACGATCGTCATCTCTTCCTGTTTCGTCTCCGCCATCATTATTTCAACCAAGGAAGAAGTTACCACTCGCCAAAAATACGGTGAGTCCACAATCAATAATACCGAAGATACACTTGAAACCTACTGAAAAATACTGCTTACGATTGGCAAGTGAATTGTTTGGCAGGAGTCGGCGAGACATGCGCCGAATCTACTAGGATCTCTTTTCTCCCAGCCCAAAGAACCAAGCCGATCTTCCCTAGGTTCTTCGTCCTTTCAGCCCACACGACCGTCATCACAAGGACCGAGAATGAGCTCTCTAATATCCAGTAACCCACTCACATCACCGGTAACAGTCGACGTACTTTCTCAATGAAGACTGAAGATGTGGCATCTTCTGAGGAGCACAGCGAGACATTGGCGGGTAATTTTTCCCCTCCCCCAGAACTTGGCGCGAGTCATGCCGAATCAAGGAAAATCTCTGCGTCCTCAACCTATACAGTCGTCCCGACCCCGTGACACACACCTTTCTTCTCTTTCCCATCTGAATGCACTGTCTTTGTCATATCAATCAAGGAAGGAGTCTTCATCTGCCAAAACCCCGGTCAGTGTTTTTTTTTATCATGTGTTCTTTCTCATGCGGCGTATTGGCGAAACTGATGAAGCATACTTTCTAGCCATTCCCCACACCTTTGACTAGTCTGCATTGCTTATAAGGGAAAATCATTTTCAGAAAGGACTCGGAAACCACAGATTTGAAGCAAGGTTATGACTTTTTCGGCCATAGGCTTGGCAAATGATTCGCGAAAGGACTCAAAAACGGAGATCTCCGTGAGCGGTACGCAATGTATTAACCCTTATACGCTCAGCGCGCCGATCCATCGGCTCCGTCTAAATCATGCTCTTTCAGTTACATAAATGGCTCAAAGGTTGTTTTTGTTGTTTAGATACATAAATGGCTCAAAATGCTTCCCTAAACACAGGTGCTAACTGCAAAAGATACGTATGTGATGTAGTTCCGGACCAGAGAGTGTTTTAGGCCAGGTACTTGGAAAATAGGCTGAGTGCGAGAGGGTTAAATGAACAGAGATCCTTTCGGCTAGCCTATGGCCTGGAAAGGGCATGGTCTTGTAGGCTAAGGTAGCAGAGGCCTAGGTCAGAGCTGCTTGGTCATTAACTTAGTGTCCAGGAATTATCTGAACATAATATCTTATTTGGAGTTTACTTAGAATTACGTCAACGCTCAGTTTAATTTACTCTATTGCATTGCCTATTTCAATGGTATGCATAGGCCAGGCAGCGATTGGAATAGTTTTGATCTCATAACACGCTCTCACCCGGGTTCAGGGTAATTTTGTAATCCCAACAGCTGGAGAGGCAAGAGTCAGCGTGACTTGAAGTCGCACAGAAATCCTTTCCTTTAGCCGTTTCGAGTCGTCCATATAATTCCTCTATATTTACTTACTTTTTCAGAGAGAACTGAGCACATTCCTGCAAATCTTGACATGATTAACCGTCAATTATTTTTGGAGTTCCGTGAAAGTTCGGAGAACTGTTTCATCGCGTGTATAGGTGCAGTTTATCTTCTGTGGACGTATTGGCATATCTCCAGCGTTATCAGATGATGCAACAAGTATTGCGAGTTGCAGGTTTGGGAAATGGAACTCAAGAAATGGAATGCTATCAACAACGACTCAGTCAAGAATAACTTTTAAAAAGAAGGCCTTTCTTTGCTTCCAGAAAAGGTGAATTTAGGAAAATGGTCAATTGAGAATTAAGGCCCGAATTCACAAACCTCATTTAGGGAGATAAGGAGCCTTTAAACTGAAGAGATTTTTTTCTCCCATAGAAGTTCAAGTATTCTTAACCCTTTCAGACCTGATTTATGGCCGCTATCGGAATAATATCCTTTTTGCAGTTCTGAGCTCTTTTATGATTGCAAATGACATCTTCATGCTTTATATGTAATTACATATTTTGAATGTTAACGAATTTAGAAAACTAAAATTAAATAAACTCTTTCCCTATGATGCCCGACTTTGTGGACCCTGTTGATAATTATTACGAAACAGCCTATGCGCCTTTAATCTAGCGTTGTCGTTTCGGGACATGTGCAAGCAGGCTTTATCTTTCCATCGAATGTTTCCTGTAATTCCTTTTCTACTTTTCCTCGTCGTATGTGCCAAGTCCTTGTAAAATATAAGAATTTTCGGAAATGACTACAAATTTCTAAAAACCTCTGAGAGTCCATCTTTAAACTGTTCTTATTTTGTCAGGAGTGTGTATATCTAAAAATAAGTCGATCGTCCATATGATTAGTGAAATTCGTTCTCCCCACCCACAATACCTTACCGCCAAAGGCTCATATGGTCATGCTCACTAAGGCCAAATGTCGTAGTAGGCACAATGCACAGTTGAGGCCTTCCTATGCATCCAGTATGCTATGAACAGCTGGTGCAATGGATATCGGCTCATTCGCGAGAGAGAGTAATCGGACGTTCAGAAGGTGGCCGGAATTAGAGCAAATTTCCCGCCATCTAGTGTTCTTCGAGACCTGTGCGCACATCATCAATATACAATTTTTCATAATTGAAACAAGATGACTGCTCAGTAACGGCCTGAACGCCCGCCGTCTCCAATTCCACGAACGGAACGATCGGTTTCAGGCCAGGTTCGCAATGTCAGAGCCTTGATGGTGTTGCAGATGCCGTAAACCTGAGGCGACGAAATTCAGAATGAAGACTTTCGAATAATGGGAAAATTTAAGAATTTACTCGAGAAGCAACATGCTCCGAAGGTTTCAATGGATTTTTTTGTTGGATCATGAATGACTTGACCGGGCAGGTGTTTCTTTAAATTCACGTACTTCTCTATATGTTTGAAGAAAAAAACGTGTAGGAAGTTTCATGGCCATCTGATTCCATCAGCTGTCCCCATTTATTTTCCCTGATGGACCATCTGATTCTGTCAGCTGTCACCATTACTTTTCCCTAATTAGCCATCCGGCCAATTTGGGAAAGGCCATTGGAACGTATAAGTTTACTGAGGAAATAGCCCTTTAGTGATGAACTCAGTAAGTAGGACTAAACCAATATGAATTCGAAAATATATATGCTCATTTAAATAAAGTCCATAAGCCCTTCGTTTTTCTCGCGGATTCCTCCTTATCTCCACCCTCCTTTGTTCCTTCTGAAAAAAAAAACAATGTGGTTTAGAACACGTTATGATTCGCAGGTCCATTCTGTCTCTTCTAGGAAAAATCCTGTGCAAACATTTTTTTTTACGATTGTACGAGTAAATTAGCTGATCTATGAAGGACTCGTATGTCGCTATCTTGGGCTTATACGTATCTGTAATACTTTTCAGGCCATAGTCAAATCGCCCCCACACACGGTACTCAAAGAAAGTGGAATGGAGCCCCCATTCTATGCCATTGTGAATGCCGGTGAAGGGAGACTGCACTTCCCACGGCAGTGGGAGCCGATGCCCAAAGAGGAGTTGGTGAAAAGAGTCGCTCTGCAGCGGCTCTCTCACGAGTACTTGCTGGCGAGCAAGCGTCTCCCTCAAAATTTCACTGTTCAGGGCGTCGAGAGGGTCCAGAATCCGTACCTGTGGGAGATGTACCAGAACCGCCGAGATCTCTTTCTCAAGCAGAACGATCGGGATCTGAAGAGATTGAACGAGAAGTATCTATGGCACGGCACGAGTCGCGAGAACCTCGATAACATTTGTGAAAGAAACCTAGACTGGAGACGCCACGGAATTAACGTTGGACAGATATACGGACAGGGCACGTACTTCACCGACGACCCCCTCTTAGCCGCCCGCTACGCCCAGTCTTCACCTTCCCATCGAAACGAGAAGTGCATGCTGCTGATGAGAGTGCTGGTGGGGAAATGTGCCTTGGGAAATGGCTCCATGACCATGCCTCCAGATGGTTACGAAACGACTGCTGACAATGTCCTCTCTCCGAAAATATTCGTGAAGTACCATGATCAAGACTATTACCCTGAATATGTATTGTATTTTACAGTTCAGCAATGATTAGCAGTGCCGTCAAAACCAGGGCTGTACGGATGTATCGGCTACCACCGGTATCGGCCGGTTTGCGAGCTGCCGATGTCTAAATGATGGGCAAAACTTACGGGAAAAAAATGAGTGAACGTGTAAACCTGAATAATATCAGATTATATTTCAGCCCCATTCTTGAAACTGGCGCAGGAAAATAGCAG